CTTGCGATTTGACAGTGTTTCATGTTACACCCCACATAGGGGTGAAACATGGTCCGAAAGGTAAATGTACCCATTTATACAGTTTTAGATATGGTGAGATCTCTGTGATGTCGCATCTGAGGAAATAAAAGGAAGAATAAATATATAACCTTTTATAAAGTTATATTCTTATACAATTATACTAGCAAATTATGCTGTGGCAATACTTGTAGCTTTAATTCGTTTTTAAATCTTAATATTTTATGTAGAAATTACTGCTCAGACTCAAAAAAAAAAAAAAAAGCTGTTGGCCTTCAGCCTCGTATATGTACAAAAATGGTCATTTGCACCGTACTGTTGAAGAGGAAATGTTGTTGTTGTTGTTGTTATTATTATTATTTTTAGAGTTATTTATATAGCACTGAGAATTTACGCAGCACTTTACACTAATGCACATTCAGTCCCTCAGGGAGCTTACAATCTAAGGTCCCTATATTACATACATACAATCATACATGCACACATGCTAGGTCCACTTTTAGCATCAACTAAATACACTTCCAGCATGTCTTTGATGTGTGGGAGGAAACCGGAGTACCTAGAGGAGACACACGCAAGCACAGGAAGAACATGCAAAACTCCATGCAGACCGTGTCCTGGCCAGGATTCAAACTGAAAACCCCAGGATAGTGACAGGGGCTGTCAAAATAGAATTGTTGGAGCTTCTGGGGGAAATTGGAGGGTCAAAGGTCCCCTAAAGACCTGCTCAAACCAGATAAGTAATTTCAGGGAGGGGCCCTTCTCGTTTCAGAAATTATGGCAGATAGCAAAGAAGCTATTGCTTCCTGTGCTATCTGCTGGGTTGGATTTTCTTTTTAGTATTCTAGCAGCTGCTGTTGTCAGAATACAAAAAAAACAAACAAAAAAAACAGCATAGGAATGAATAGCTAGATTGCTATTGGCTATTTCAATTTATAACCAGAGTTATAAGCGCGCTTAGGCGAACCAAGCCGGCCTCATCTCTCGAAAGCAGCAAATAACTATCTGAATTCCTTTTCTTCCCAACAAGTAATAAAGCCAGTGTGTTTCAGCTTTACTTATCACACAAAAAGTACATTTCAATTTCAAAAACAATTTTCCTAGCTGGACAGCCATATCCATTGGCCTTATAACACCTTTGATAGATCCAGCTATGTGCATTTAAATTTGCATTGTTACATGTTTGTTTTCACTTG